ATCCTTTAAGTTCCATAGAAAATATATTATTTTAACTCAAATGAAATGTTCAACATGGTGACAGCTCGTTTGATGGCAAATGGTAAGCGTCGCGTATACTCATAACGGCAGCTCCGCGGACATTACGGTATCGTATGGATGTGCTAACACCCATATATTGCCATTACGGAGGACTAGGAATATTGACATATTGTATTAGTTATCTAGTAACACAAGCTTAAGCTAGCTTAACTTGAGTCTAGATGGCGCTGTCTGAATTATCCTAAGATTATTATTATGTGGACGTTTACTAGTTTACCAGATACAAACTACTATATATACGTATACTGTTCAAAGAAACTTCTAAATTATATAGTCACCCTTACTAATAAACGTTTTATACAAATTATTTACCTGAGACCAAGACATTAAATAAGTCTTTGCAATTCATGCGAACGTAAAATGTAGCTAAATTAATGTAAACATTGTTAAATTAAAATATAATATTTTCCAGTTTTGGAGTATTTTTCTTTTGTCTTTAATAATATATATTTTTTATTAATCTGTACATAGTATAAAATAAAGAAACCGCCGTTGTCTGTTCGCTTGTCTTTTGAATTAGGTAAGGGATTTTAATGCTTCAAGAAGAAGTTTTATATGTATAATACATTCGTGTATGTATAGCATAGAACAATCTATAGAGAGAGATATTCCTGGTGAATTTACTACGATGGGCTAACTGACTTGGCCTCATATTCATCCTATCATGATTCAATGCGTAAACCGTTAGCGCAGGCGCCATATCATACCATAATGATCCATTTAAAAAAACTCACCCCTTCACCGAAACATAGCTTACAAAGCAAGCTGTTTGGCGACTCAAATAGGTCAATGAATTAACTTTTCTGATTAATCTTACCGGTTTATTTTTTAATTAATTAACAGAAATAGTACGTTTTAGTACGTTTTATTTATGCATCGATATTTTTTAACTTTTTGTATATTTTAAATCAGTATTATTTCAATTGCAACTGTATTGAGACTTATTGGTTGCATCTATAGTAATATTTTAAGCAGGTAAAGGATGTAGGTATGGATATTTGAGATAATCTCCAGTACTACTGATCCGATTTTGAAAAATCTTTTAATGTTGAGAAATCTTTTAATGTTAAGCCCGTTTATCGAGGTTATAAGGCTAAATTAATAGAAGCCAAGCTGGTATGTTAAATATTTCAAAAACAACGAAAATATCATGTAATTGCGCGGGTCAGCTAGTATTATATACATATATCTACATACGCAACGACCCTTTTAGAGATCACAGTTATAGTAGATAACAAAAGAAATGCTGAAATACGAAATATTCGGACTTCTTTTAAAATAATCCATACTTTGATGTTCCCAAAATACTCTGAAGCTATTAAGAGTATTTCGTAGGAAGACGCTTTTAGGGAGGAAGATTTGTTTTCAAATATCTACGTAAAATACGTAAACATTAATATGGTGATATTTCCAGAAAATATATTTTTTTATAATCTTGATAAAAATAATTAAAACCAAGAGCGTGATGAGCAGTGCTTTACGTGTATATTTTTCAACTGATTGTAAAAGGAGATTTAATATATTTTCTGCTTTGTATGTAAATATTCAATGTCAGCAATACAAATGTGTATCTCATCTACGATCACCATATCTGATTCGAAAAAAAAATATAATATTTGTTGTTTGTTTTTAATTAAGTATGTACATGTTATGCAGAAATGACAACTAATACGTATATGGTATACTGCAAAAAAACAATAAATAAAAAAATAACAAATATAAAGTAAAATAAATTTACATAGCAATATTTATTACCATTTGCTAGAGTTACCACATTGTGTATAACATTCATTACCATATTTACGGACATTTCCGATAAAAATTTGCAAAATACGGAAAGTTTATACGAAACAATTTGTACAGGAAAAATTTGCAGCGTGTAGAACCTCAAGAACAATAATCCTCATTTAAATCAAATTTCTACAAATGTATATATTAAAAAAAAGTTTATACATGCATTTTGATATTTTAGATAAGATTTCGTAGGCACCTGTACACTCGACTTCATACTCGTTGTATTCGAAATAAAAATAATTTATAACTGTTTTACTGAATAAAACAAACAGTATTTATTAAATGAATGAACATCGCAACGATATCAATTAATCTGTATCTGAGATTAGCAGCATTAGGTAGATTATAAACACTGCATGTTTATGTTACATTTTTATAAAAATAATCTAACATTGTTTTGGGTTCCATTACGTTGATAAAGTTCCACATTAATAGTTTTTATCTATCTTCCATGTATAGATAGCAACAATTAAAAGTTTTAATATATGTATGGATTTCCAATTAATAATGGATTTATCAACGAGAACTAATTGAACATACTATTATCCTAGATGGAGTAGTCAGATACATTGTAAACATGTTATGGTTAGCGCAACACTTGACATGTTCACATTTCGTTGTGTATGTATATGTTTTTAAATCCAACATTGCAGAGAGGGAGCGTCATGCGGGCGAATCTTATGCTCCCGTGGGTCCGGCGAATTAATCGCGGCGTATAGGAGAGGTTTTAGTGGGTAAAAGTCCCACAGTATCCGTTCGCATTCCTTTGCAATGACGGGCGGATCTTTTTTGAATATTTCCCGTCATAAAAAAAGGGGGTAGCCTAGCCTAGGTCAGTCAAGTAAATAAATTGACACAAACTGTTGTTTAGGTGTACGCCTGATTTTAACGCACGGCCTCTTGATTAAAAGTCAGGGTATCAAATCACTAAACTATGTAATAAAAAATAGTTATATCTATATTGAAATAAATACTTACGTACAGGTACAATAGGTTTTCAGATTCCCAGTATTCTTAATGCTCAGTAGCGAATAGAAAACTTCCTTATGTCGTAAATGGGTCCCTTGTGATGTATGAACGACGAATGGTTACCATTATTTATCCCGTCAGTTGGGCCGACACCTTATTATACGGTAGTTGCATTCATACTTTTTATGAGTAGGGAATCCATAAAATTATTATTGCAAATAAACTGCCATATTTGTTGGCGTAATAACTTCCGGAAACACTTAAAAATTTTATTCTATTGATTAATACATTGAAACTATTAAATATTGCCCTAAGGGAAATAGACTTTAAATTTTGACAAATTTATTTTGTTCTATAAAAGAAAACGTTACCTACCTACTATTAATTGAAATCGTTTTAGGTAACAAATCGATGTGGTCACAAAAACTGATAGGTATCCTAATATAATATGTTCCCGGAAATTTTAATTAAACCCGTGTGTGTTTCTTGGACATTATATTTTGTCTATTATGTAGACATAACAACATGAAACCACATGTTGCTTTAATGTGAAATAATCTCAATTTTGTAGGTATTTTAATCTAGTGCATTTTTGTACTGTTCTTTTAAAACTTAATACTGACCAAACCTAATAAATCGATAACAAAATCAGTCCTTTTATTTAATACGATATATGGAATTAATACGTTACTATAGTTGCAGACTATAAAACGGTGCAAAACAATGCGATTAAGTGTTATTAGATTGAAATTATTTTTAGAGTAGACAGATTTCACAGGCAGATTCTAGTCCAATACGAGTATTTGTAACGGTATCTATGACTATCTATGTCACATAAATGCTTTACTTTATACTTATCTGATTTAACATTTAACTATGAGTAACTACTTTTGCTATCAAAATTAAAATTAGTGACATAATTTTATGCAACAATGATAAAATAAGATAAAATTATATACCTATTATATACTGGTTAAATATGAGGATTGTCACATTCAGCGGTAATTGCATACACTATGCATTAAGTGAAAATTTTGAGACATTTATTATTTCTTTCTAAAATAGTTTCTCTACTTTTCATATAATTTTAATGTCGGACATAAGCTAACGGCCCAACTGATGCAAAGTGACAACCATCATCCTAGACATGAAGAACACCACAACATCACGCCATCACGTAATGCTATACTATAGTATAGTAGTATATTATATTAGCTATACTATAGTTTTATATTCACATTTACAATCACATCTTAGAATCAATACATGTATGCTTGTAATGCTCCCGTACTCTATACTCCATAATCTATCTCAATCTCACAAAGCAATCTGGACTTATGACTTTGTACACAGTCTATCTTCAATCGACAATCTTTCATAAACATCAGAGTATCAATTCTTCTATTAAAATGACTTCGTAAAACGTTCACCTTGAATTGTAAACTGACCACGAGGGAAGCCGCGGTCATCTAACGATGATAAACGAAGTATTTTCCTACACTTCAATGGTCAGACATGACGGTTGTGACCCATCAAATTACTGCGCCATATTTACAGTGAGCATGTGGTAATAACATATTTACGTTATTTGAACAAGAAATATTTAGCCTAGTACAAATGTGAATATAAACCGATAATTGGATAGACTGTTCAATACACGTCAGTCAACCTGTGAATGAACTGTAAATCAATTTATGACGTCTCGAAAGACGTGCCTATAGAATATATGATATCTTCTATTTTTGGTAGGTAGGTATATTTTGTTATAATATATAATGCTAGGTGACCCCCGCAACTTTGTCTGCGTTACATTTTCTCCGTTTTTGCAACACTTTTGTTGATCATTAAATAGCTTCCTACGATAAATAAATTAAATATAAAGAAAATTTCAATTCCTATAAATATTAAAATTTATGTCTAAAATTAGTACGTTCAACCATACGAACAAACTCTTCATATGTATAATAAAATTACACTAAATTCTTACGAAAATATTAATTATTATTAGTAAAAGTTTTTATTCATTTAGTTCCATTGACTCATAATAATAAATATTGAATGATTTATTAAATATACATTATGAAATAAAATTTTTGATTAGGTGGATTGTTTGTAAAATAAAACAATATGTATTGTTAATATGTGTAATTTTGGCATTCAGAGTGATGAAATACGTGACGTGAGAACAACGAACACATATCATTTTACAGAATATTATGTATTTGGTGACCAAAATATTAGATACTAGATACACGTTAACACATTACACGAGATTGAAAGTCGGTAAAAATATAAAAAATATAATGACTATACCTATTAAAAAATTCCTGGGATAGTATTATTTACAAAATTTATAATGTAACAAATGCAGTATGTACATCAAATAAGACATATAGATTCCTTTAATTAATCGAATTAATAATAAATCACTGTTTGGACCCTAAAATAAGTAAAAAAATACCTACGTATAATGAAATTAAAATTATTTATATACATAATTACTGCCTATACCTTAATTTAAAAATGCCTTGCATACTATTCTAGTCTAGGTCTTGCGTCGTGGCTCAAGAGACGCAAAAACTAGTCCATAATAAATTAAAAACATTACATGCTTATGATTACATTAAACTTTACAGGACTATATTCTATATTAATCTTCGCAGATATTATTCTTTAATATTGATGTCTTAAATTAGAGAGCGTAGTCATCTGAAAAAGAAAATAAATTACATTATTATTATATATTTATAATCGTATATGTATTATTACTACTACTTTCATTTGGAACATGTTTAAATATAACGTTATGATTCTAGAATAAAAAAGGTATCTAATATACCTAATCTTTTTCATAAAAATTCAAAAGTAATAAAAATAACTGCAAATAAAAAGCTAAAACATGCGAAACACGAATTTCATGTAGCAACAACAGGTACATAGTTTTAAATGAAGTAACTATTTCTCTATTCCAGATGAATATATTATAGAATATTGAAATTTCGTCACGTGCAAGTCGACTTCTACTGTACGTGATATTGCGATAAATTGAATGTACAAAAAAGAGTGCAATTTTAAAAATATCCTCTTGTACTATATCTAATATTTTAACAAAAAATATTATATGGTGATATTTTATGTTAATTGTTTTAATCTGTGTCATAAATTATATACATTTCATTCAATAATATTATAGTATTGCATTAAATTATGTTTTAAATTTGAAGCTAGATCCCTCACGACAATTTTCTGTTTTTACTTCAACTAATTGCAAGAGCGTTATCAATGGGACTGTTTTTTTGTGTCTACGGTACGGGATACAATATGACGATACACATAATAAACAACAAGGTGTTTTAATATTATAATTATAATATAATATAATAATAATATATAAATTATAATAACACTTGACTATAAAGTAGTATCTATATGGTAATAAATGAGAAACGTAGAATCTTACATAATCAAAGCCAATTCTAAAATAAAACTCTAGAATAAAAGTCCAGACTTGTAGCTAACGAACAAGGGTGAACAAAGACGAATTATATTCACAAGTTTAAGACTAAGGCCCCTCTAGCGTTATTATTATAAAAAATGTTATTCTTGTGCAAGTATAATAAGACCTACTCGTGAATATGAACAAACTTCGTACGCTAATAAACATAATTGTATCAAAAATACCTCAAGATTTCTAAGGAACACATTTGCCTAACTCTAAACTTCAACAAACCGATAAAAGTCCAGACTTGTTCTTTGTTTACCCACAGGCGGTTGGCGATGGTAGAGTCTCAGCCTCAGCCTCAACTCTTATAAATATTTTAGTAGCTATTTGGTTTATAAGTACATTAATGGCGTCGAGTAGTTGTAACTTAGAACAAACTTTGTGGGACAATTTAAGATTAATTCGCCAGTGATAGTTAACTGCAGATTTGGTTAGTAGTGTGTTAATTAAAATTGTTGTTTCTTAATGCTTCTTTACATTTTTCTACTCAATTCGATTTATACAAAAATAAGTATGCTGTTTGAGGTTCGACCTGTGGAAAGGATGTCGAATGAAAGAGTGAGAAGAAAAGTAACTCCGTTGCATGAATCTTCCAGTGGATGAAAAAGAGTACGAATAGAAGTTTTCAATACTAGGTATTCTATTTATCTTTCTTCTCTAGATAAAATACTATGTTATTCTGTTTCAACTAATACCATAGTAACAAAACTGTACATAGGTGAATACGCTGACTGTTTATTATTAAAATAATTATTATTTCAACATACTCATATATAAATATGAATAAATGGAAATCTGGTACGTGTCACAAAAACTTGTAAAAATTAATTTGTGGCTGATTCTCTCTAATGGTAAACGTTACTTGTACTTAAATTAAAATTCTAATTAAAGTCCGCTTTGCGAAAATAGAGTATTAGCGGAAATTATTATAAGGACTTATTAGAGTATGAATTACCTACCATTAAAATATAGAAAAGAGGCAAAATCATGGCATGGAGGCATCTTACATGTGGGGTAAAATATTATGCTCTTAGCGCAATATTTTTCATTAAATTAATTAAATTTTCGCCACGTATTATAAATTTGCAGATCAAATCTGAAGCAACTTATCATACTCACTATGACGTACTCGAATCATATGACTCACCATTATTACTATGTATTCAGACACTTACGGATAAGAGCGAGAGTAACATCACAATATTACTAAAGTAATCAGACATGACAAGCCATTCTTCTGATTATGACATAATACTACGTAAAATATATGTCTAGTTATGTATTTCTCTATTTTGCTACGTATTTAGGTTTTTATTTAATATACACATATATATATCTAATAAATCAACAGTGTCTGATCGAAAAGACATTCTAACAATTACTTTTTTTATAAAAATTGTTTATGTTACTTTTTGTTAATGGGATAGTTAGAAAACTATTTGTAGTTTTCTTTTGTTTACTTAACAGTAGAAACTGTCTAAAGAATTAGTTGATTTATTTTCAGAATACACTGAATAGATCTTGTTTTAATCAATCTAGTCTATGATGGTAGAACATGACATTAGTAACCTTGACAAATTGTTACTCTAAATATCATATAGCAGAATATTAGATAACGCAGATCACCTATAAGGAACAATTATTGTAAATATATTCAAAATACGATTGAGGATAATAAATAGGTACCTACCGAAAAAGAATAAACGCGGTAATTGAATACATATTTTATTACTTTGTTGAGTTTCGCTGAAATTGAATACGCAGACAAGTGGAATTGGCAGACGGATGTCTAAATATTTTTTTATGCTTTAAAACTATATTGTATTGGGTATAATAAGCACTGAAAATGTAAATTTTTTTTCTGTCATATTTAGCTCCGTATGAACTGCAAATAAATAAATGTATATGTAAAATAGGAGGCATAGACTAAATTATTACTTTAGAACGGAGCGTTTGTAGTTCTAGCACCTGCAATTATTTTCATGAAAATATAGACAAATAACCATAACATAATATGACATTTTTAGAAATGAATAGACCAGTTTAAATTACCTAAAAGAGGAAGTTTGAAAATATTCACTACATATATATTGCACTGATTACCGTATACGTATGCGACTTTTACTCTTTGATTAATAAATGATAAAATAAAATTTTGTAAGAGATCAAACATAGAATAATGGCCAATATATTGCTATTAATAATATTTAGGAATTATGTTCATACAATAAATATATATATATACGATATTTAAATATTAAATAAACGAGTTCATTTTCCCAATAAAATTGGATTCACTGTAAGCTTCCTTTTATGTTGGTTCTTCGATAAATCTTATAACAAGAATGTATATTCATTTAGATTAAGATATAGGTAGGTACACGTCATATGATTAACTTTACCGATTTTCTTAAAAAGAGGTGTAGACGCCAACAGTGTGTATTATTTATTACTATTATTTTATCTTTTTTTTCTTACTACTAAGCAACAAGTAAACTTTACGTATTAGTCATACCGCGTAGGTCGTAGCAAAATCCAAATAATAGATCTTATCGTATGGTATTCTGAAATAGTAACAATAACTACTAACTCATCCAGAATGGGGCAATAAGAAATTATTATGATTATACATGGGTCCTATTTATATTTCATTAGCTTATCGTAGTGGAGCAGAAGCTCATTAATTATTATGCAAATATGTAATCACATTCAAAGAATGGGACTAAAGGCAAGCAGTGTTGATGATTAAATTTTCAAATACAGCGTTAAATTTTAGTTTATCTAATGACCGTCGACTTTATATTTGAAAATTTCAGGATACTTCATACCTACATTCTTCCTTATACATCTTACATAAAGTAGATTTTCTGAAGTCGTTTAGCTTTTGTATTATAATATCACAAACAAAAGCTCTTTGTAAGTGTAAAATTATATTTTTATCCTAAATTCTAAAGTTGCTTTATTCAATAGCTAAAGTTATAATTATTCAAAATATGCCGAATTGAAACTGTTTGAAATAAAAGAGCCTTTTAGAGGAAACTTTTTATATACTTTTTATTCTGGATTATAAAACAATATTATAATATATACATTCTCTTCACATTGAAAAAACAATTCATAATACAGGGAAAATGAATAAACGAGGTTACTCTCTCATTTTTTAGTACCAATTCATGGTACACGAGTCCACGTTATACATATTTTGTGTATATTCGTCTACGACTTGTTTCCATACTAAGTTTGTCCTACATTAATCATTGTTTTCTGTCGATCGAAATATGTAATATTTTTTTGCTAAATAAGTATAATGTAACAAATATCTATTTCTTCTTGGTTTAAATTAAAGTAAGTACTTAAATGTAATTTTAATTCTATTTTCAATTATTTAATACGATACTAAAATAACCCATTTAGGGTACACAATTAAATAAAAGCAACTGATCTAAATTTAAAATGTGTATTAATATTAGAGAAGCAGTATGACTGTTTGGTATAAAAACAATAACAATTTAAACATTAGTTGCCAAAAACTGGTCTCTTTTTTAAATAATAAAATGGGATTTTTTAGAATCACTTTTAGTTCTTTTGGAAATAATTTTATTCAAGTCAAGCTGAAATGAGTAATGGGCACTAAAACATCATAGTTTGTTTAGTATTTTTTTATACGTCAGATAGCTGTCTGTGTTCAATCTCCACCTACGCGTTCCCTCACACAATCGATCCATATTTTCTTTGATCGTTCCATTAAACGCATCCACATTTATAAAACTTTCTTTTATCATAAATTATTTTTGCATGATGTAACCGGAACATTAGGGCAATTTGTTTAACTACCAGTAGGAATTTCTTTTTTATATTTTACAATAGCAATTTCTATTTGCATCTTTGTCCACGTGAACTAAATATATGGTCAATGAATGAATAATCGATTCTGAATGAATCTACTGAAAAATAGTATATTTTCTTCACCATATCGTATGCAATTTGATGCCAAGATTCAAGATTCAAGATTCTTTATTTGTAAATAATTATTAATTGAATCGTTGACAAAGACAGTACCAAGTAAGTGTCAGATATATGTGAGGTAGCTTGGTTACTTCTACTTCACTTGTTTCTGCCCATTACCAGACTTTATACGATGTCTAACCACGTATGTATATCATCATGATGTCATGATCTGTCATCTTTCTATAATTACTACGCTATATATATAATATAATAAGCAAATAACTTTGGACTAGATGGCGTTGTTTGAATTGTCCAAGGGTATTATTACATTAGAAATATGTACATTAGGAAACAAAAAAATACTAAGTTACGTGTAGCTACGTCTAACTCTTATTTAAGGCAATAATTACTATATGTATTAAATACTATTACTTACTTACTTACTATCATTACATATTACGTTATCATTACATAGTATGAAACAAAGTCGCTGTCGCTGTCTGTTCTTATATATTCTTAAATCTTTAAAACTACGCAACAGATTATGAAGGGATTTTTTTAATAATATTTTTTTTTATATAAAACATATACAATATAATACATTGTATTGTATAATATATGTACACTCGTGCGAAGCCGGGCGAGTAGCTAATTAAATGATAATGTAATAATTATAAATTAATTAATATGCTTACCTTATTCAAACTTATATTATACTTTCTTCAACCACCCTGATTAGGGTGGGTATTTGTCGCTATAGCGGGCCGGTGACCTGTGTATGTCAGAAGGCAACTGTTAGTTGTTAGGAACAAAGAGATATACCTACACTATAATGTATATAATTGTACTGCTTTATTATTATTAATACTTATTAAGCATTAGTGTGGCCAATTAGCGATACGAATAGATGTTATTGCTTGTATATAATAATGTACTCATATTATTAAGTACCTGTTCATTATGTGTAATCGTCTTTAAAAGTTTGATATATACATTTACTACGATATATATATAATGTACAATGTATATATAAATAATAATGAAAATATAAGTATGTACCTAATTTATTACCTAAAATACCGTCCTTTATAATTTAGGTAATATTAATAATTAATTTTCAGCTGTAAACATCTGACTTTAATTTTGACTAATTGTAGAGATATCTCTTATATCGTGTGGATAAATTGATTGTAATATTAGTTAATATAACGACTAGTGTCCTGTACCGATTATACCCGGGTCATTATAATTTTTAGGACTATTATATCATATTGGAACATAATATATAGTTTCTGTTACTTTAAAAAGAATGAATGTTACAAACAGTAAAATAATTTCTCAAAGTGAAACCATGGTCCCGGAGTATTCAAATATACTTCTCTCTCTATAATATATTAGTATAGATAGCACCGTTAGATTGAAATGTCAATTGAAAGATTAGATTATTTCATAAGTAAATTATAAATATATTATGTTCCATAGGAAAAGACTAATAGTTCTAACAAAATTTATGTACATACAATATAATTAACTCTACCCTTGTAATACGAGTATGAATAGCATGAAATATGAAAAGATCGTAGAACTGAGAATTCGGTCCTTGCTTTCTACATATCCTGTCATCAGTTCTTGTCGTGGTCAAAACACAGATTATTATAATTTAGAGATTATGTAGTCATTACACGTGTTATCGTAGAGGGTAAGGACGTGTCTACATGTCACTTATCCGTCAGTTGATCGATGAGGGAAGATAAAGTTTGGCAAGCGTGTATAAGGGTTCCGATACGAAATACGACGTAGGAGCACACAAGAACTTAATGTCAATCAGCGGTAATAACGAGCATCCTATCTTTATCCATTTTATTTATCTGAAACATTACAAATGACATAAATGTACTAACGGAATGAGATATCAAATGAAATAAATCTCCCAACGTAAAAGCTTTAACCAAATCATTTTGTCAGCATTTTCCTCTTCTTTCTATTATCTTTGAATTGGAATTTAGCCAAATATGCCAATTTATTTACCATTTTAATATTTTATGTCTTTCAATTAGGTAATATTAAATGACTACTGTTGTATTATAATACTATATGTTACTATGATATTAAATAACTACTATACATTATAACTAGTGGTTTTCGTGATTTTAAACACGTGTACATTTGTAGATCATCATCCTATTGATTTGGAAATAGAGATTTACACATTTACACCAGATAAAAAAGCAGAGATACGAAAGTGTCAAGATTCACAAAAAATACAATACAAAAGATTTATTCCATTATGGCCAGCATTATACTTTCAAGTAATTTTCTTTTAGTTATTTTCCTCAGCTTTCAGTAGCCTATATGTTAACCCATTATTATAAAAATATTCTGTGAATGTTGTCATCTTAATTCCTACAACCATTTTTAAGTAATATATTAATACAAAGAGATGAAAAGAAAAACACACAGTTTATGCCTGATCATGATTATATTACAATTTTATTATTACTATAACAATAATAATATAATTTTATTATAAGTCATTCAAAAGAGATATTTAATAACAAATAACAGATTTGTACCCAATGAATTTCGGGATTAAAAGTTAGTCTGTAACAAAAGAAGTTTATTTGAAAGGCTTGTCAATTTACTCCAGTGAAATGTCGATTTAATGCTTGATCGTGTTGTTGAAATTTGACATTTATCTATCCTCGTCCTTATAAACCTTATTTAGTGCTAGTTTTTTATGATGTCTTTTAAAGCGTTGATTTTTTATTTTTACATATTTATATTATTTATCCATGCTTTTGTATGCTTTGCTATAAAAATATTACGTACCTACAGGACTTGACAGAAGCCACCTGTGCCCGTGATGGGTCTTCTGTAAATAATTCCACGTAATATATATATTTATTATTGTAGAGTGTTAAGTTTTAGAGTTTATATTCAACTCTTCGGATTACAAATTCAGTTGATAAATATTATTTTATTGCTGTCAGTATGGTTTTGACCGTCTTAGTTTCTCATACCAAGCAAGTTATATCAACGCTTACGAGAGCAAAAAACGTTCGATAATGCTTTTTTAGAAAAAAGCATGGCTTTAAATATAGAAAAATAATGAGAATTTAAAATCAGAATTTGTTATTATAAATAAGAAAATATTCAAATAAATAATTGTTGGTAATAAATCTACACTCTAAATTACGTACTCTAGAGTGTATTTCGGTAATAAATCATATCAATTTATAGTAACACATTCTAACTTTAAATTAAATTCATTTTTTAAATTAATTGATATAATAAACTTTGGGATATTCCTGAGCAAAGGCGACATAGAAAATCATATCGCCTAATTGACGAACTATTATTTGTAAGAATTCACTCTCATTTTTTTCTTAAAACGGATTCTTAATTAGACATACTTATTTTAAAAAAATCCTCTTCTTATACTTCTATACTCTTATTTTACAAGAGGATAGATTTGCTTATTTGGTTGTTATTATGGAATGTTGTTAAAATTAATAAACTAAACTGTTACAAAATATCAGCGAGACATTAGCTATATTTAATTCATAAAATGTAATTAATTTAAGTATTAGGTAGAGAGATATAAAATACTTAGGGAAGTCGGAAGTTGATATACTACCAATTACCGTATAATTACAACGTTCTTAGACTACTCACGAATTAAGAAAGTTATCACTTATTCGAATAAGTTCGATACATAAATAATATCAATTTTATTAGGTTACATTTTTTTACTTTGTCTTGACACACATAAGTATATACTAAATAGGATTTCTAATCAATGTAATTATAATGCCCTTTTTTATTAGATAATATTTGCCTTCGTGATTTAAGTTGTGACCTAATACGTTTTAAATGTTTTTGAAAACAAAATACAATTTATTAATTCTCCGGGAAGGTGGGTTCCGTCCTCTGACATTTGTTCTTATTGTACACAGATATTTCTGATGTAGCATATTGTACCAGACAATTTCTCTAATATATCTTCACTGCACCAAATAACATTCATTGTAATAAAGGACAAGAATCAATATTAAAACATCAGAGTGTCTAAAGATGACTGAATTTTTGAGAAAATAAATATATATATACATATGATTATTTAAATACGTTTACTCAACATGGATCGATCGAACATCGATGATTTTCTTATAATCATTATAGCATACTGTCCTGTAAGTCTACATAAATTTTGGCAGGTTTAATGTGTGGAATAAACTGTTAAAGGAACAAAACACAAATAACATTAATAACAGCCTGTATTATTTTGATTACAATGGGAAACAGTAGGGTCTATTCTAAAGTTTCACACGTTAAACTTTTGTCTAAAACTAATATTTATGTTTCGTACTCAGTACTGAATGAAAGTATTATTTTATAGACTAAAACTAACTGAATATAGTTGCAACTTTTTATTGTATAAATTATTCATAACATCTTTTGTATTAATAGTTTCCCTATTATAACAAACTGAAATTATAGTTTTAAAGATAGGTTTAGAGATGATGCTTCAAAACCAATCCCAGTGTTGAATAAATTCTCTCGAGTTGTTTTGTCTAGGAAGATTATTGCGTCTTAGTTGGAAGAAGTTTGAAAATGCTGTAATTGTAGAAAACTCTAGCATTATGAACTTCTTATCACAATGTAGCATTTCGTTGTTTGTATTACCGTACTGTGTTTAGGTATTTGCACATATCAGGTTTATTGTAAACTGAATTACGAAAGTGAAAATTAATATTGAACATTTTATACTAATAACGATAACTTAAGACAATTTACAGTGTTATCTAGTCCCAAATAAATCTTATCTTATGGGTACTAGACAACTGATAGAAATACTAAATTTGTGTTTGGAATACATAATTCATAATAGACATTCAGACCGATACAAAAAATTATACACATGAATGTTGATTAAATACTAATTTTAAGTCTTACCGTCCGAGGAATCAAATCTGCGACCATCGAAAGTAACGCGATGTGCTAACCTGCTAGACCATCTACATAGGTCATCGAAGCTTTTAATCTAAATCGATTAGGTGAATATTAAATATTCCACTTTTGAGTTTTTATCGTTTAGTTTTATGAATAGTATCATTTTCCATGAATAGGCTTTCCCTGTATGGCCTTGTATTGTTGTAGTTGTAAATATGTTAAAGGTGTAGACAGCTTGAATTTTAAAAACGCTTTTTAAAAGAATACAATATTAAAAAAACCTGTGGCAATGAAACATCGGTACAGACTCAATTAGGTACATACGATACAATTGCTTTTATAATTCTGACAACAATACATATCTATTTTATATTTTTATTAGAATAGTGTTATTTTGTGCGCATGTATATAAAAACAAAATAGTAAACGATTCCATTGTGCAAATGACAATACTCAATTTTTTACATAAATATATTTCAACTGAAAATATTAAATTTGTAGGTATCGAATTAAATTATAAAATAATATTTTGAATAAGGTCATGCATAAATTATACAAAAAAACATATTTTATACAAAAATAACAGTAAAAAGCGTTTATGTTAAACCATAAAAAAAGTTTAATAGTTTATATACATTTATATTTACATTACAGTTTTCTATACAAATATTATACGTATCATTTATTCGAAGAATATTAAATGAATAATTACAATACAATTAGTTTGTGAAGTTATAATCTATAAGCAGATATTTAAATGTATTTAAATACAGAACATACCTACATTATATCTACGATCTACGTGGAATACTATTGGCGTATGATCACTTACACAATGGAATCTCGCCTTCTGATACCTGCGTTGTAGGCTCGAGTTTTGTGGCAAACTTTGCTGGTTCCTCGGTGGCAGACAGCATGCGCCGCGCCAGTCTGGCGAAGGTACAGCGAAACTGCCTGCTCATGCTGCAGTACAGCACGAAGTTTACAGAGGACGTGAATAATGCCAAAACGTCCATTAAGTCACCTGTTAAAGAAATATTTGCTAAGTCATCATTTTTGATGTTCAGTATCCTCAAATTTATACACATTAATAATACAACAAAGAAAGATATGTAAGAATACAGTAACTACTCCACGTACAATAAATTTAGAACGATTTTTAAAGACTTGGATTAAAATGGGAACTGATCCCAATTGCCTAGGGTTTTTCGTTGTTAATCTGTTTTATTTATACAGCATCAATTGGAAAGGATAGTATATTGGACTGATTCCCTAACATATAAAATGGAAATTTTGGAAATAAAAAAAGTTTGAACTTTATTATTAAATTTACCACGTGGCCGCGCAGTACGTATGATAGGAATGGTAATCAACAAAGGAGTGGTATCACAGGTGTCATATGATAGAGTGATATCAGTAGTGTATGTATATAAGTGACGGTTATCGATTACCATCGTCGATAGGTTGGCACCTGGGGTCAAGTGGGTTGGCTAACAACCATTCCAATTATGTAAAAATAAAGCTTTTTTTATAATATTTCATATTTCCTACTTTGTTTCTAAATGGAAATGATTGGGTATTATACTCACAAGTATACAACTTGGCATAAAGCACGATACGATAACTAACCTTGTATTGATTTGTATTGATTGATTGTGTATTGATATTGCGTGCGGATTGATCCGTAAGTAATATGTGACTTTTTATTATCACCAAACCAAAGCAAAATCGAAAGCTTTTACCTTAGTTAGATTTGTTTTTTTTAATATCCATGTACAATAGTAATATAGTAATAGTAGTAATAGTAATATATTATTGAGCTTATATTTGAACATATAAAGCTACAGTAAAGAAATGTACGCAATTTTTCAATGTATAATATAATACTGTTGTTTATTCTTCTTCTGTTTCAGAGAGTTAATTTTATTGTAAACTTTATTGTTGTTTCCAAAGTAGAAGAACAATTTAAAGGCAGATGTGCATAAAAGTTTTCAACCAATTTCAGATTGTCATATAACAAATAACAATAAGTTTCATGATATTTCAAAGTTGGGCAAATTTTACCTTTTACTCAGTAAACATTATTAAACATAAAACTTGTATCATGAACTTATGTATTTGTGTTTCTACAAATTTAATATTGTAAATCAAATATCGTTATATTACGACTTTGTATCCTGCTTTACAAAAAAATAAGCACTCGAAATATAGTCACTTCACATTTTCATATCATCTTATATGAACTCCATAAGATTTGGCAACTTGTCTCATGCTGTTTTCGCTGACTATCAGTTTTCGCAAATAGATAAATCTATATTCGTTTTTTTTTTACTTCTGTGCTTTTGGGAAAGTGACTGTATTTATCATTACGCTAGTGGGGTATTTTAATTTAAATTACATAATTTGGAAGTGCTTAATATCCCTTAACGAAATCAATGATAAACGAATGCAGATTATTCCTTGGCTTCCGAACTCTATTCGTGTTCCGAGTTCAAAATGAGTATGCTTCAAAACTACTTATCTATCTTGTATATATACTTAGTATATAGTATCTTCTTGCTTTATGCTTATAAGAATAGTGGAGTACAAACTAATGTAGTGGCGTCATAGTAAAGCGCTTTGAACTAATGGACAGCACGAGAAGTAGCAGCACTTGAATAGCCGTTAAAACATATTTTATGAAAGCGGGGTTTAAAATTACAGCAAATCTAAAGTATATTGGTATTGCGTTCATGACGCAAACAGCGGTTTAAATAAAGTTACTTAAGCTTAGCTTAATGTGATGACTTTGTGCAAAATTGGAATACATGCTGTCACTGTGATTGGCAAGATTAAATATACCGGATTAGTTACATTGCTCCAGGTTTTGCTATATATTTTTTCCATTTCAAACGTTTTTTCTGATTTACTATACTAGATACTACATTAGATAATATTTTTCAGGTTTGATTTATAAACTATTCAAGTAAAGAGAATATTTTTTAGATTAATTGTTGCCTTAGCGGTTAGCATACCGCTTTATTTCCAATGGCCGCGGGTTCGATTCCTCGCATGGTGCCATAACCTGAATTCATAAGTATGATTATTTATATCGGACTGGTTGTTTTCTATGTATATCATCAATGTATTTATAAAAAGTAATTATTTCCATCTGTTGTCTAGTAGCCATAACAAAATCTCTGTTTATGTGAAATTTGATGGCGCTGTGTTGTGGGCTATATGTAGGGTAAAATATTTTAAAATGGCACCACTATGGCTATAAAAATCCAATATCGTGCGTGTACGTTATTCCTTGATCATCTCTCTCAAATTACGTTTTTACCTACATTCTCGTACCGCCTAAAATAACTGGCATCACTCAAAACTTTATGACTGATTGGTCTTTTAAAATATATGAAAAATAAGCAAGTAGCTACTACGCAAAATAATCACAGATTTTATTGAATGTTAATTGTTGATATTTTGCTGTATTGAAACAATTTAAAAAACTTGTTAATATACTCGATTCATAATATCGCACACAAATCAATATTTAACTAAATGAAGTATATTCAATTCTATTAATGAAGTTAAAAGTTACAACTAATCAGCTAATATTTTGTAATTACAAATAAAATAAATGAAACTCATTTTGTACCTCAAAATGAATCAAAATTAACGTAAAATATAGTAGAAAAGTAGAGTGTATGTACCTATATATGTTTATGTCAATGGAAATACAGACTGATATTATGTATGATGATGACCCCAGACGTACAGACTGATATTATGAATTTCATAATATCTGTCTGTGACCTTTTCAATACTAAATAGTTGAACGAATCTTGATGAAATTTGACATCAAGATTGATCGTATAACACAAACTGGCTATTTTATCTTAGAAGATGACTATCTTAGATCTCAGAAGACGTATTTTTTTTGTAATGCACACATAGTCGCGAGCGACATCTAGTTCTCTACATTTTACTCAGAATATTCTCGCATCATTACGTAACTACTGTAATATGTAATTAAAAGGCGAAAATAGATTCTGAGAAAATACTCCATAAGCTCACAAACCACAAAAAACTCGTTTGAACGAAGAAAATGTACTTGTTTCTTGGCCCTTTATTAGCTATTCGTTGTTACGCGAACTGTTTTAATTGATTTTTAATCCTACTTCGTAATTACTTTCGATTGTAGTACAACTACAAAGTTAAAATGTTTTTTGTTCAACTTGGAAAACATTTTCTTTTGTTCAGTATCTTTAATTATTTGACTGTATTATTTTTAGGGTCGGTACGCGCACGTGACACCCCTGGTATCTCAGGCATCTGTAGGCTACGGTAACCGTTTATGATCAGATGGGCCTTATGGTGGTTTGCCATCATTATAATATTATAAAAACTGTGCTCTGAAAAAATGAGTTTGTGATGTTATAAGGGACGTTATAAGAAATTATCGCTATTATATAGGTAAATAAATATACAAAAATTTCATACGGTTATCTGAAATTATATTATATAATAAGCTGGTAACTACAACATAGTAGTCACCGGGTGACCACGAGCTGCAACAAAGTTGAACATTATGCAAGGCTAAAGTACCATAGATGCTTGAAAGTGCACTATTACAGGAATCTTGACCTCGTTATGTCTAAACACGAAAATGCTAATCTCTACTGAAATAATATATGTAAATTATTTTAATTAGGATACTATTATATTATGTTAGTAAGCGATACTATTGGTTTTAATTTTATTTTAATGTACATATATATGTAAATAGATAATACAATGTTCATATATAAAATCTCCGATTTCCTAGTATTTTTCCTTTTTCTCTATTTACTTATATGCGTATAAAAATAAAACTACAACATATATTGTTAAGGTCCGACAAGGTCGCTACCACGTGGACAGGAGGGACCCCTGTCCTGTCGTGATTAATTCTTGGGAAATTCATCCGTAGGACTAAGTAATTAGTTCATGCTAATACTATCATCTACTACTGGTGCCTCTATAATAGAATAATGTAGGGATAAGGATAAGCTATAATTACACATTAATTTAAAAAAGATATTCTATTTTTTTTTCGTTTTCTAAATTACTGGTAGCAGAGTTATGAGTTCAAATGTTTGACAAAATGAATTATTTAGTGCTGTTTTACTTTTTTGTAAGTTTTTATGTTGTTTTTAAAAGTGATTAGACAGCTGTTATTTAGACTGATGGATCGTAGCATTAATTTACGTAGCAATGTGAGCAGTTTATTTATGGGGCCACATGACGCAATATTTGCCGGTTATAATATTGGAATGCGATGCTTGTATAGCTAAATATTATACTTTAGAGAAATTCAGAAAATTGTCATTCCATTATTTATTTTTCTGCTAATACTATTTTCTCCAATGCTGAACTCTTTTTTTAAATTATTTCTTAATAGAAAACATTTGAAGATGTTGTTATATTTTTGTGGATCGTAATCCCATAGGTACAACAGTTCAGGCATATATTTTGGCAGTTCAAAAAACTTTATTTTTATTTGTAACATTGTTATTTAAAAAAAAAAATATTTCCCAAGACTATTTTATAAATAGGCCAAGTAAAAGAAAAAGTTTACATGTTTTTTATTATGTAAATACTGGCGCACAATCAGAAACTAGGACGACTTATAGACACTTTTCCGATATTTCCTGTAAAATTGGCTGTAAGAAGACAGGTAAGTACCCGAAATATCTTATGATGTAATACGTTTTTTGTTCTCCAAGAAACAAACAAAATATGTAAGGAGTTTTTTTATATACACCGAATTTACCTTTCCATAATATTTTCAATGATAAATTGAAGTTATGTTTACTCATGTAGTAAGAATTGCAAATTAAGTACGACCCCACCTGATTGAAATTGTGAACTGTTTATGTACTTATATAAATAAACTGTAACGTACGTAGATAGGTAATTTTTCGTTTGTTTCGTTTTCTATTCCTTAGAATTATTAAGTCTGTTAATCGTATAATTTTAGTATTTTATGTCATCTTTCATCCACAGTTTTGAATGCATGCTGCTGACGAATTATGTAGAACACCACGCAGAAAGCTTTTCTTTTGTTAAAACATCACTCATTAGCACTATACAATGCTATAGTTAGAATATTATAATTATTCATTATTTTTATTCTGTGAAAATGTATTTTATTATACCGACATTTTTTTTTCAGAGATTCGCAACACAGCCTGTTACGCTGTTCACTATGGTATTATAAAAAAATAGGACACGCTAGCAAAATCATATTCGACAAATGAGATCATTTACTTTATCTACTACCTCAGTCACAATACATTTATTTGTCCGCCTGTTTTTTGACGTAAAAAGGGTATGAAATGAGATTCTCTAATATTATTAAATATATTACAGTTTCTTTTTTTTCTTTACTATTTGATCATCGTAATATAGAAACAACAAACAACATGAACACAATATAATAGCACTTTCAATGTACTTTATCATTATTACTAGCTAGCTACCCTGGCTTCGCAGGGGTGTACATGTATTATACATATTGAATCACTCTGTCTATTTAAAAAAAAAATGGTTCAAAATCCGTTGCGTAGTTTAAAGATTTAATCATACAGACAGCGATAATTAACTTAAGATTAATTAACCAGGATTGTTCCGATGCCGGGTAAGAGTCTCTCGTCATATTAAGAGGATTTAACATACTATTACTACGCTGACTGGCTATGAAATGCCTTATTATATTTCCGTGTAGCAACAGATATAAGAATACAATAGATTCCCATTCCTTTTCATTCACAGAATGTTGTAAGACCGGACTAAAGGAACATAGTAAAGTACAAATACATGTGAAAGAAAAGGAAAACTCAACGCTTGTACACGGATATACGTGTATTGAGTGGTCCCAATAGTGGCGTTAATTTTACAATTACGCTATAGTTGTAAATAATGCAGATGTATGTTACGCGATTTGTTATAATATAATTTTGTTAGAGTTTTATACTATATATCTTTTTTGTATAATATCTTGTATATTATTTTCGTAGATAAAATATTAAATTTTATTTCATAATGTTCCTGTAAGCAGAGCTTGTGATATGAGTAGACTATGACTAGACAACTCATACATTGATTATATGTTTTTTTGTTTATGATTTATGTATTTTGTAAATACGTACATATATATATACATAGAAAACACTCAGGGCGTTACAAACAATCACATTCAAGAATATTATTTTTAGATTTTTAAAGGTGAATAGACTGAAAATCCTCTAATTTTAAAATAAAGTTTATACAACTTGATGCAACGAATTAAAAGATTATTTAACAAGATCTCCTGCTGTGTTCCCGTGTATTATCTTCGGAATATCTCTTCCTACTTCTAATTTATGTACAATATTTCACTTACGAGTTAAGACATAACATTTTCAGTTCTCAATCGATTGGTTATATGTCTATAGTATACATGTAAATTGTAAAATTTAACAATCAGAAATCCAGCGGTATGTAACATTCATAATATTGAGCCTTCCATATAAATTATCTTTGTATCATTAGCATACCTCGTATGTATCTACCGCCAATATAAAGAACAAACAATTAAATGAAATAAATCAATATATTCGAATAATAATTGAAATCCTTGTGTTTTTAACGGCTACATCTGAAATGTTCGAAATGTTGATTGGAAAATTGGAACCCACGTTAATAAATACATTTTCAAGATATTTTTTTCTACTAGATTTATATTCCGCTCAAGACTTTGAGACAAGAATATAAATTTTATTTTATAATAAAATAATATTATGAAAAATATAATTATACATATATAATTCTTAGAAACTGAATAATTCTTAAAATTATACAAACAAATAAATATCTTAAGCTCAGAATATTTTTATAATAAGATTCCTTGAAATATTTCGTAGAAATTTAATTATAACTTTTCAGGTATTTAATTCATGTGAACAAAAATGAAGTATATAAAGTAAATAAAGTAAGCTACTCATACTTAGATACTTTGTTTTTGTTCGCAGTTGAGTGCACACAACATTTTCTATTAGCTATATAAAAGAAAAATTATATACCGAACATGCTGTAACAGCTTTTGAAAAAGTCCGGTGCGAGAGCACTGGCAAGGCCCAGCAGTCCTTGGGGAACCTCCGTGGACAGGAATAGACCAAGAACTGCCAGCAACATTCTCGTAGTACGATCTGTTCTACTAGTACGTCGGGCACAGGACTCATCTGCTAGGCACTGCTTCTCCGGCTGCAACAAATCATATAAAATGGCTTATATATTAATATAGTTGATTATTGCCTTTACGAGTTAACAAAAGTATAGAGACGTTATTATGTGTGTATCTATAATAAATGTATACCTAAAGCCCAGGAAATAGTAATCAAATAACTATTATTACTCATGTATTTATTTACATTAAAAATCATGTCTAATTAAGGTAGTCGTCCCATCTATTTCTGTCCCGAAACTGCTTAATTTGGAAGAAAAAAAATCTTTCAGGAGTGAAATAAGTCAGTAAAATTTTAGGGCATGGATGCATGACACCTTAGTCTGAAATCACAACGCGTGAACGGTCCGTTTGGAACCAATTCTGTTTAGTTACATAAAAATTGTCTTTTTGAGATACGAAACACGCTACATAATTTTATTAATTATCCCAACATTTTTTTATTCCATAACTTCATTAAAACTCTTTACCCTAATAAATAATAACTTATACATAAATATTCATTAATTAAATATATATTCCGTCGCGTGTTTCCGACCTATTCTTTACCCCATTTAACAAAATATACATACATATTTATAGAACAATGGTTTCCCCTTTATTGTATGTTTTGTATAGGAAAGGTTTTTTCCACGAGAATTAAATTATAAGTCCAGATATTTTTACGAGTAACCCACTTTTTCTCAGTTTGTATATTGAGTGTGTAATGAAAAAATTGCTCAATTCCTTTAGTAGGCCTTCTAAAATGAATAGTATACATAAATAAATCCATTAACACCTCAATGTATTTTTACCAAAGATTGCCGTTAATTTTAAATTTGAAAACTAACTTCTTGACGGAACTTAGTTAATTTGTCAAAGCGAAAGGGTGTCTTAATTAAATTTGTTAATTTGAGCATTTATTAGATTACTAGTTCTGCTCAAAGTGTTATAGATCTAATTTATTCACATCTACATTAAATTAATACTAATTGAAATTCCGTGTATTTTTTTAGTACGCTTTAATTATATTTGTAGTCTCTAGACGGAGACACTACGATACGATGAATACTTCATAAATTAAAACATCAGTAGATGTTGAGTGGAGTGTCCAACTGCAGAATTCCAGCCACCATCGCAGGTATGCCCTGCGTTTTATTTCTCCGTGGTCTTCTGTGTTTCCTCGCTGTGTTCATCGTCTCTTTCCTAAGTCATAGCTTCTTATAGGTAACCTTGTGATCTTTTCCTACTTATAACCTATTTCCTGATCCAAATGAACTACTATAGTCCACTTAAGCACAATTAATTTATTCTCTAATTAGAAAGCAGAGCTGCAGTTGTTAAAACGACCGAATTTACATAAAAATTAATTCTTAATTTTTGTCAAAATAATATCACTCTCTTTAGAATCAATACTCTATAATGCTTAAACAATATCAGAGTATAAATAAAAAACCTTTTTACAGGTATCCCTAGGGCCATATGTACATGACTTTCCGATTTTTTCTTTTAATACGGTATAATTAAGGTAATAGAATTGTTAAATAATTTCTTCTCACTTTCGTTTATTTATACACATCTTCAAATTGGTTTCATTCATGTTTTCCTATGTAACATTGTCATATCTGTGATTGATGATGTGATGATTGATTGATTGATGATGATGATCTTAATAAATAATAATATGTCCGCTCATTGCAGCTCATTGTTAGAGCTCTAATGATAATGACTACAACATGAAAAATTATACTTACCGGTACAAATATAGGTTTCTAAAATAGTATAGTAAGTTAGTAGTTTAGATATTAATGTGTTTTATATGATTTGTTTATGTTAAAGAGCACGACTTTGATTGTGATTTCAGAACAGTTGTTTGTTTGTTTGCCATAACTTTATTGTGTACAGATGAAACATTTACATAAATCATCAGTACCCAACAATAGTATAAAGATGAGTTTATTTTAGTAAAGTATTGCTTGTACTTTGAGTAGGTAATGGAAGTTTCTTGATTTGTCTTGGTAGTAATAGATAGATATATTTTATTTTTGTTTTTATTTGTGTAACTGTAATAAAAATAACCTGACGGCTCACCTGATGTTAAATAGCCACTGTTGTATTTATACGTAAATAGCAATATGGACATCATGTCATGTGAAGTGACCGCTTATGTTGTTATTTGGGAGGACTAAGGTAACATGGCTTCTACACTGTAATTTCACTGCCTTATCACCTTTCAGCTAAGACGCTCTTTATAAAGCGGCTTGAGACAGATTTTCACAGACAACTTTGTACAAAGTCTACGTCGGTAAAGTTTTATTCATAATTATCTCTGTGAGTATAATAGTTTAACATAAACAAAATTTTGAAAAAGGCATATATGGTTTATTAGATTTAGGTTAGCTTGTATATTCGTATTCAAGGGTCGCATAGAATACCATAATGTCATTGCAGGACTTGATGACGCATTGTTTGTAGACAAATTTACACTGTCTCAGTCGAGTGATGTTCGTAAATGAAGTTCAGTTTGAGATATTGCTCTATTAGGCTAATGCTTTCGCAATACCTTCCATTAATACAAGGTTTATGCGCTACAGAAACGAATTATCATTATTACATATCACATACTATGTTATTATTGCAAAATATGCAGTATGATATGTATTGTAATAATCGAATTATGTTCCGTATTCAATGGGGTTATGTTTGAGCCCGGGATTATTGATTAACTTCAGTTTCATGGAATATTAATTAGCTAGATTGCCTGACGAGTGTCCCATATTGAGCTGTTGCTGCAATGCTTATTGAAAGTTTCAGGTACACTTGATCACTTTAGGGTTCCGTGAAAGCCTATTGTTGTATTAACTATGTCAGTCTTTGTCCCTTAAGTTAAGTACCCAGCTATATACTAATAGACACTTGTTATCGCCCAGTGGTGGAAATTCGACTAAAATTAATTTAAATTTTAAGTTCTATTGTAATTTTCTACATTATATACTGTGTTGTTATCACATGATAAAGTATGTAACGTTTCTTTTATAAGTTCGATTTAGTTTTAGTTTTTCAACATTAATATAAAAAACATTTAGTATTCGTATTCCATGTAAACTTTAAATATGCTAAATTTCATACTTCTCCGTCCGCGTTATTTTAAAAAAAGGGGAGTTCATAGTTTCGATACATGTATGTATAGATAGGATACGAACTAAGATGATATACTCACATTAAGAAAGTTCCTTGATTAAAATAAAGTATTTTTTCTTTTTAATTTCGTTCTTATTCTTTAAATTGTAATAGGTAATTGATTTAGGGGTTTCAATAGCTTCTGGAAACGTAACTTGTGACCTTTTTTATTGTATTTTTTGGAAGCAAACAATCGTGGGGTAAGTAATTTAGGCTCTAAAGGAACTGTAACATTTGTTCAATTGTGTCCTTACAAAATCCCTTTGTTAACTCACTATTTTTCTAGGTACTGTACAAAGAGTGTTACAACCAACATAAACACACTTATCATTTAAATTAACTAACTATTCAATTATATTCGAGCAGTAAATAATTTTTTGCGATAAAGATAAGAATTTCAGCTATATATTATGCAACAAAGGGGCTCATGTTCATGGTAATTTAATATTTAAGCCTAATTTATCATTGTTATATATTTTCTATTATAGTCCTTAAAATATCTATAGAATCAAGGCAGAAGTAATCCTTCTAATTTAAAACAAAAAAGTAAAAATTATAGACACTGTAATTGTTAAAACACAGTTTCGATTAGCAAATAAAGTAATTTTCTTTAGTTGGTTACATTTACAATTCTGTATAACTATCGTCGCTGACTAATATTATTATCATAATGGAATGCGTGTATTGTCTAATATTGAAAATGCTATTTCCTTTATGATTTCGTTCTGAAATTGTTGTAAATTCATGTTTTATACGCATAAAATATCACTGAGTTATTAGAAAACCAATTTGGAAGGAATAAACAACAAATTTTGTTTGGTATTTTTTCAACGCGATTTGAGGAGGATTTTTGTGTTCAAAATAATATTTTATATACAAATAAATTCTATGTAGATCACTTACGCACATACTCAACTCGATTAATTGTAATAAACAAAACTTCTAAATGGTATAATGTTTACACTATAAACTTGGAATTAAAAATAAACATGAAAACGACCCAAATACTTTGTGTATTTGAAAATAGTTTCTTTTGAAATCTCCTCTCAGTACCTACTTGTATTGATTTATTATGACTTATTATTTTATTGAAAACAATGGAATATTTGTAATATTCACTCGTATAACTATTTACTTATTCTTGAATCAGTGGGAATTTCTAGCTTATTTTTAATTTTAAATTGTAGGTACTTTATTCCTAAAAATGACTAGTTTTACGCATACTATTATATTAAAATAAGAAATAAAACCATATGATAGACGTTTTCAATTTGTATATGTGTTACATAATTGCATTTTTTGGTAGGTTGGTACGAAAGATCGATGTTTATAGTATCTATGTATTCCGATTTGTTTGTCTAGTGACATGAAGATCCTTAGTCACGATATATAACCATTATTTTTACTCATACCATATCTATAATAAATTTATTATTGCCATTTTTGGAGACAAAATTAATTGATGAGAAATAGAGGCAGATTACTACGGTACTGCACTTTGTACAAGTTTTTTCTAAGAAAAGTATTGATTGAATCAAATTTTATAACAGTTCTATTATAAATTAAATTATTATAAAATACTTAAGAACTTAGTAAGTAACTAAGAAGTAAGAACTCGGAAAAAGCTCTCTCTGAGCTGCTGAGTTAATATCCAATGAATACAAAATTAAATTTTAGCTATTTTTTAATTTTAAACTAAACTTATATTAGGCACTTAAGTAAAGATTTTATAACCATCTAGACATATGGCAAATTTTTAATAAAAGAATATTGTTCTTAAATTATTTAGAGCATTAGTCTACCCAATCAACGGGGAACGCTGGCTGTATCTTCAGAACCTTGCCTAGAGGGACTCCTTTTA